AAAGGAAACCAGAGAAAGGCAAGATTCCATGTTGCTCATTTCAGCTGGTTTCAGTATGGATTTTGAGAAGTTGCTCTATTTGAAATAAAGAAATATTTTAAACGGGTATGTATTTGCGGTTGTCTAATACAGTCATACACTGCATAACAATCTTTTGGTCAATGACAGAGTGAATATACAATGGTGGTTCCGTTAATGAAGCTGAAAAATTCCTAACACCTAGTGCTATCATAGCCATCATAACATTGCAGAGTAGCATATCACTGACATGTCTGTGGTGATGCAGTGCAAATAAACCTACTATACTGCCAATCATATAAAAATGTAATACATATAATTATGTACAGTATAATGATAACAAATGACTGTTACTACTTTATGTATTTACTATTTTTTGTTGTTTTTTTGAGGTGTGTTCTCACTCTATCACCCAGGCTGGAGTGCAGTGGCACAATCTCGGCTCACTGCAACCGCCATCTTCCAGGCTCACGTGACCCTCTCACTTCAGCCTCCTAAGTAGTTGGGACCACACGTGTGTGAAGCCACACCAAGCTAATTTTTTGTATTTTTGGTAAAGAGGGGGTTTTGGCATTTTGCCCAGTCTGGTCCCGAACTCCTGACGTCTGGTGATCCACCCTCCTCAGCTTCCCAAAGTGCTAGGATTATAGGAGTGAGCCACCACACCTGGCCTGCTATGCTTTTTATTATTATTATTTTAAAGTGTACTCCTTCTACTTATTAAAAAAATTAACTAATACAGCCTCAGGCGGGTCCTTCAGGAGGTATTTCAGAAGGCGGCACTGTATCACAGTAGATGGAGGCTCCGTGTGTGTTACTGCCCCTAGAGACCCTCTAGTGGGACAAGATGAGGTGGAAGACATTAAAATGTCATTAAATTAAGACATTAAAAGACATTAAATGTCAGTGATCCTGACGCTGTGTAGGAGTAGGCTAAGGTGTGTGTTTGTGTCTTCATTTTGAAAAAGAAAAAAAATGCTTATGGAATATCTCCTAGTCAGGAGACATATAAAGAAAGAAAATATTTTTGTACAGCTGTACCATGTGTTTGTGTTTTAAGCTAAGTGTCGTAATAATCAAAAAGTTTAAAAAACTCACAGTAAGCTGTTTATTATTGAAGAAAAGAAGACTTTTTATAAATGTAGTGTAGCCTAAGTGTACAGTGTTTATAAAGTCTGTGGTGGTGTACAGTAATGTCCTAGTCCTCCACATTCATTCACACTCACTCACCCAGAGCAACTTCCGGCCCTGCAGGCTCCATTCATGGTAAGGGCCCTGTATGGGTGTGCCATTTAAAAAATCTTTTATACTGTATTTTTACTGTACATTTTTAATGTTAAAATACACAAATACTATATTCCAATTGTCTACAGTATTCAGTATAGTAACTTGCTGTACAGGGTTGTAGCCGAGGAGCAATAGGCTATACCATGTAAACATAGATGTGTAGTGGGTTATACCATCTAGGTTTGTATAAGTGCACTCTATGATGTTCACAATGATGAAATCACCTGAATGATATATTTCTCAGAACATATCCTCATTGTTAAGTGATGCATGACTGTTATTTCTTCCCAGTGTTGGGTATTACAGGTAAAACTCCTGAGTGTTTGCCTTATTACTTCCAATAGTAGCTAACGTTTGTTTGATACATACTTTGCATCCGTTATACTATATAATGGTCACAACAATTCCGTGAGATGAATATTATCATTTTTATTTTATAGATGAGAAAACCAAAGTGCAGAAAGTTTAAATAACACAATGTTACAGAGCTATTGCTACAGCCTTGATTTAAATGCAGATTTTTTTTTTTTTTTTTTTAATGCCAAAGCCAGCATTCTAAAGGAGTGTTTTTGAATGTTGGCTTCTCTAGCTAGGTTGGGGTGTTTTTCGAACTGCAGATTGAGAAGTCTAGTGAGTTGGAACTAGTATAAAAAAAAATTGAATAGAATGAAAAACACCAGTGTGTGTCACATGTAGTTGGGTATGTAAGTCTTGATGTAGGAGACTTTTGTTTCAACTATGTATTTATGTGTATGTATATATAAGCACATTTCTGTGCACGGGGTAACAATGTAAATGGTATTTCTTACCGTGCAATGGTTTGAAAGCCAAAGGATTGGACAAGGAGGAATTAAGATAAGTTAAAAAAAATGGGAGAGCAAGAGGGAAAAATATGAACAGGTGAGAGAATGGACAACTGTCAAAGGGACAAAGAGACTCAGGGAGAGGGAGAGGAAGTAGAAGACAGTGTGGAGAGAGAGAGAATGGACAAGTTGGAGGAAGAGACAGAGATTCAGGGAGAGCTGAGGGTGGGCAAGAGAAGGAAGACGTCATATGGTTCCGTCTGTCATTCCGCTCAGCAAGCACATGCCCCTACTTGATGGCAGAACTGGAGATCTCTCAGGGGATTTTAGTTTTCATACACTTCTTATGCTGTGATCCTCTGTCATTCTCAGTGTAAGTCAACGATTTTTATTAAACATGGTTTCTGGCTGGGCACAGTGGCTCATGCCTGTAATCCCAGCACTTTGGGAGGCCGAGGCGGGTGGATCACGAGGTCAAGAGATCGAGACAATTTGGTCAACACAGTGAAACCCCGTCTCTACTAAAAGTACAAAAAATCAGCTGGGCATGGTGGCACGTGCCTGTAATCCCAGCTACTCAGGAGGCTGAGGCAGGAGAATTGCCTGAACCCAGGAGGCAGAGGTTGTGGTAAGCCGAGATCGCGCCATTGCACTCCAGCCTGGGTAACAAGAGCAAAACTCCATCTCAAAAACAAAAAACAAAACAAAACAAAAACATGGTTTCTAGTTATTATATCAAAAAGACACCTGCACATGTATGTTTATCACAGCACAATTCACGATTGCCAGGATATGAAACCAACCTAAGTGCCCATCACTGATGAGTGGATAAAGACAATGTGGCATATAGAGACCATGGAATCCTACCCAGCCATTAAAAAAAGAGTGAAATACTGTCTTTTGCAGCAACCTGGATGGAGCTGGAGGCATTATTCCAAGTGAAGTAACTCAGGAATGGAAAACCAAATACCGTATATTCTCAAGTGGGAGCTAAGCTATGGGTACACAAAGGCATGCAGAGTGGGATAATGGACTTTGGAGACTCAGAAAGGAGGAGCGTGGGAGTGGGGTAAGGGATAAAAAACTACATATTGGGTACAGTGTATGCTACTTGGGTGAGGGTGCACTAAAATCTCAGACTTCACCACTGCAGAAGTCACCCACGTAACCAAAAACCACTTGTATACAAAAGCTATTGAAGTTATATATGCATGTACATGCATGTATAGGTATGTGTTTTATATATATGTACACATACAGACATGTGCAGGTGTCTTCTTGATATAACGAGTAGAAGCCATGTTTAATAAAAATATGTGATTTAAATATTAATAATAAAAAATAATAATAAATGTGGCTTCTCCATACCAATATTCCATCTTATCTGATGCTCACCTGAAAATCAGTGATCTGAACTGGTCTGAAGGGAAAATACACTGTGCTGAAATTGCTGAGATAAGGTATGAGGTCCCCATTACACCCCTTTCTAAGGAATTTGCAAAGGTGATTTTGAATGTATGTAATTTTTGTCTTTTGAGCTAATTTTTATCTTACTGCACAGCAGCCTTTTATGTTTTACTGGGAAAAATAGGTTAGATTAAAAACACATTTTAATGTCTTTTGTTTCCAAGACATTCTACATCCGTTAAGTATTTTATTTTCAAAGGATTCTGGACTCAGTTAATGAAAAGCCCATTTTTATAGACATGCAAATTGAGTGAACATTTGTATGAAACTTCCCTGCCTACTGACGCTTTCATGAGAATTCTATTACTAAATCATAGTAGCCACCCTATTAGATTACCCTTATGTTAATTTCACCACAGAAATTGGAGCTCTGTGAGCTTAAGTCTCTTGCACAAATTTTCGTCTAAAAGTTGGTAGAGCTAGATTCCAATCTTGATTCTCTGACCCCAAATTTCATGTTTTTCCCACTAGACAGGAAATAGCAACAATAGGTTGAAAAACAATGTGTTACAATTTAGAAGAAAAGTTTCATTTTTAAGTCTGAATATGGTGCAGGTCTAAAATGCCTACTATTTTGCTGCAGTTGGATATTATAATTTTCTCCTACCCCGACCCAAGGGTAGTTCTTTGGGTAGTTCTTTATTTCTAGGCCCCCATTAGTAAATTAGAGTTTATATTGTTATGCTTTACTGTGATGCATTCTTGGCCTTTCTTCATTGAAGATTGTTAAAAACACCGACTTTATTTTAGTTACTAATAATGTTGCATCAAGTAACTTGAGTAGATGCTTATTGTCATCAGCTTAAGTGGGTATTCTTTTTTAAAATAAGTGCTTAATGTAAGGTTGAACACCAGAGTGAACTCCATCTCAAAAGCCATCATTACCTGTTAGAAAAAAATTGTGTTTTCCCCAGCTTGCCAAAATGCTGCTGCTATATATCCTATTCATCTTGTTTGGTCCTACCAGTAACATTAAAAAATATATATCTAGGAAAAATGCTGTGGTAGTTTTTCTTCAACTACCTATCCTGAAAATTTTATGCGTGTTGGTTAATAATAGGACTTTTCAGCCAGGACATCTTGTCCTACCTTTGCTCCTAAATTTCCTCATTGTTAATAAAGATCCATGCCTCCAAATGTTAAGATGTTAAAGCATATTATTTATTCTTGTTTCATGATTGTTTCTTACCTTCAAAAGGTAGTTGCTAATGGAAATGTTCCTCCTTTACTCCACTGGTTTTATTTTGCTGAGCGTTTATTACATTCGACCAAATACTTTCAGGAAGCTAAGATTCAGTTCTGCACACCGTAGAATCTTTGTCAGTGCAAGCAAAATATACATCCCTGTAAAAAGACAGGGTATTCTCCCCTCATTATAATTTTAATAACTGGTAGTGTCTGACTGTTGTTTGTTCATTTTTTCAGAGATCCCAGAAGACCCACTTGTGGCTGAAGAGTATTATGCTGATACATTTGATTCCTATTGTGAAGAGAGTGATGAGGAGGAAGAAGGAACAGTGTTATCAGGACCAGAGAAAGAAATCAAGAAGAAGGAACCCCAGCCTGCTTACAGAACAAACCAACAGGTATATGATCTCCCTACCAGAAACCGTGGAACTGTTCAAGGTACTGATTGGACTCTCTCCCAGAGAGTAAAGGAAGTCTTATAAGGTGAAGTTGGGGATGCGGGGACTAGGGTTATTATAATAGCTCCTTGTGATAAGTCTGGCTTTTCAAGGTCCAGAGGCAGGCAGGGCCCTATGGAATTTGGAGAATCTGATCTGGACCATGTCGATGATGGAAGAGCTGGAGTGCACTGTACTTATTGGGGATTTGGGGGATGGTACACACTGCACAGCACACTGAGGAGGGCTTCGTATACAGCTATTGAATTAAAAAATGCAGGTGTCTCTTTAGCAGAGAGTTTTTTTTTTTTTTTTGAGATGCAGCCTTGCTCTGTTGCCAGGCTGGAGTGCAGTGGTGCTGTCTCGGCTCACTGCAACCTCCACCTCCTGGGTTCATGTAGTTCTCCTGCCTCAGCCTCCCAAGTAGATGCCCACCACCATGCCTGGTTAATTTTTTGTGTTTTAGTAGAGATGGGGTTTCACTGTGTTGGCCAGGATGTTCTCCATCTCCTGACCTCGTGATCTGCCTGCCTTGGCCTCCCAAAGTGCTGGGATTACAGGCATGAGCCACTGTGCCCAGCCGGGATTTTCCATATACTTTCTTCTGGTAATGCTCTTTTGGGGTCATATTCACAAATTGAATGGAAATACAAATTTGTAAAGACTGACTTAGTTCTGGGGATCAGACCCAAAGATCCTGGGCTTAGGGGATAATCTTCCTAGCTACTTTTAGCCTCTGAGTATACATTCTTGCTGAAGTGATGAGGTCTCTCTAAGTATATGCCCTCTTTAACTATAGCAAGATTAAGCCTTATATGGGCCATAGGACAAGAAACACCCCTGGTATGTGCTCTCTGTGCTGGGTGTCTGCAAGAGAGAAAAAAGGAAGAGACATGTGAACAGAAAGGAGAAAACTTTGGGCAGTGTATACACGCATACCTCATTTTCTTCTTACCTTCCAATTCTAAACTTCCATGAGTTACAGAAGCTTTTATTAACTGAGAACCATTCAGCTACTAAAATAAAAGTCAGCCAAGGGGCATCTAAGTCGATGAAAACCCAGCTAGAGGAGGTGATTTTTGGAGTGAAGATGATTTACTCCAAAAATCCATTCAACCGTTTTTTTTTAAATTGTACTTTAGGTTCTGGGGAACAGGTGCGGATCATGCAGGATTGTTGCACAGGTACATACATGGCAAGGTGGTTTGCTGCCTTCCTCCCCCCATCATCTATATCTGCTATTTCTCCCCACGTTATCCCTCCCCCCCTGCCCACCCCCCACTGTCCCTTCCCTAGACCCCAGCAACTGACCACAATGTATGATGCTCCCCTCCCTGTGTCCATGTGTTCTAATTGTTCAACACCTGCTATGACTGATACTATGTGGTATTTGATTTTCTGTTCTTGTGTCAGTTTGCTGAGAATGATGGTTTCCGGATTCATCCATGTCCCTATGAAGGACACAAACTCATCGTTTTTTATAGCTGTGTAGTATTCCATAGTGTATATGTTTCACATTTTCATTATCTAGTCTATTGTTGATGGGCATTTGGGTTGGTTCCAGGTCTTTGCTATTATAAACAGTGCTGCAATGAACATTTGTGTGCATGTGTCCTTATAGTAGAATGATTTATAATCCTTTGGATATATACCCAATAATGGGATTGCTGGGTCAAATGGAATTTCTATTTCTAGGGCCTTAAGGAATCGCCACACTGTCTTCCACAATGGTTGAACTAATTTACACTCCCACCAACAGTGTAAAAGTGTTCCTATTTCTCCACATCCTCTCCAGCATCTGTTGTCTCCAGATTTTTTAATGATTGCCATTCTAACTGGCGTGAGGTGGTATCTCAATGAGGTTTTGATTTGCATTTCTCTAATGACCAGTGACGATGAGCATTTTTTCATGTTTGTTGGCCTTATAGATGTCTTCTTTTGTAAAGTGTCTGTTCATATCCTTCAGCCACTTTTTGATGGGGTTTTTTTTTCTTGTAAATCTGTTTTAGTTCTTTGTAGATTCTGGATATTAGCGCTTGTCAGATGAGTAGACTACAAACATTTTTTCCCATTTTGTTGGTTGCCAGTTCACTCTAATAATTGTTTCCTTTGCTGTACAGAAGCTCTGGAGTTTAATTAGATCCCATTTGTCTATTTTGGCTTTTGTTGCCTTTGCTTTTGGTATTTTAGTCACAAAGTCCTTGCCTATGCCTATGTCCTGGATGGTTTTGCCTAGATTTTCTTCTAGGGTTTTTATGGTGTTAGGTTTTATGTTTAGATCTTTAATCTATCTGGAGTTAATTTTAGTGTCAGGTGTCAGGAAGGGGTCCAGTTTCTGCTTTCTGCACATTGCTAGCCAGTTTTCTCAACACCATTTATTAAACAGGGAATCCTTTCCCCATTGCTTGTTTTTGTCAGGTTCTCAAGTCAATGTTTTTGCTACTATAGAATACATATTGACCTAGAATGGATTTGGCATAAGGGAAACAGGAGTGGGAATCACAATAGAGTAATTTGTATAATTGCAAATTACCTGTCTCTTATACATTTGTTTTCTTCCAGTAATTCAATATAGCTTCTCCTTCCCCAAAGGTGATGAGTGTGGTCTCTTCCCTTTTGGGTTATTTTCATTAGCAACGTACAAATTACACTACAGAATTTAGTACTGAGACCTCAGTCATGGTTAACTTTGTGAATTGAGAGAGACCTACTGCTATCTCTCCCGTTGGCCTCTTCTCCCCTTTTCCTGGTCTTACCCTTGACCTCTGAGTGTGCCAAGTATGGCAGGGTCTGCCTAAGTGGTCATCATACCAATGCCTTCCATGTGGGTAATCAGATCAAAGTTGATTCCCCTTCCTTTAGAGGGAGCCAAAGTCACAATGTTATTATTTTGTTGAGAGAAGTGCTTTCAAAAAGAAAAATAGCCATGGACTTCATTGAGATTGATTGCTGAGTTCTTTGTGCCACCTATGACAATCTTTTCAGTAGCAGTGTCTCCAAAGAAGTTTTATTAAGCACCTAATTGCTGCTGGTTGCTGGCTGTTTCTCTGCTGTGATAAGCAGAGCATCAATAACACCTTTATCACAGCCATTATCATACTGTTGATGGCTCCTCTGCCAAGTCTGTGGTCACTGAATTGGAACCAACATCTTAGATCTCAGGAGAATTGACTTTATAGCTGTCATCATAACAGGGTTCTCCACAACATTTGTGCGACCTGTCACTAAAAAGTGTTTTATGCACTCTAATGGACATGGCTTAGGGCTGCAGGTTGATGGATGTTTTTACAGACTCCTCTGTCTTTGCCTTGCTGCCTTGACTATGATTTTTCTCTCCAGGACTAATAAATGGCTCAGGTGTGTCCAGTAATACACAGGCTAGGTGGACAATAAAGACTTGACACAGAATTTCCTCTGGAAGGGCTTTAATGAATGTGGCACTCACTGGGGCTTGTTTTAAGAAGGTTCTTCAGGACTATCGTTTTTGTTCTTCCTAAGATGAAAGGTAGCGGAGGTCTACTATTCCAGTCAATTCTGAAGTTCTCAGTGCTTTTTCCCCAAATCATTCAGTGGTTTTTGAAATTCTCGCTGCACAGTGAAGCATTAGGAAAAACAACTGATTTTCTGCTTGGAAAGTTGTCCCAGGGGCGGAGAACTGGATACGAGACAGGAAGGCCTGAGATTCTGCTGAGGACCCTTGGATCTGATTGTCCCTATGGTAGGCGACTCCAAGAGTTTCTGCTGTTAGTGCAGTCATTAGTTTAATCAGATCATAGTCATGATAACAGTAACTGCTAGTGTTTCCAGTACATTCATTCTATGCTTAGTACCTTGCATGCTGTGTCAGTTCAGGCACTCCAGGAAGCAGGTGGTGAGACAGAATTAGAAATAAAAAGGAAATGCCTAACAAGTAGGTGGGAGGAGCCGGCTGCAGTGGCTCAAGCCTATAATCCCAGCACTTTGGGAGCCTGAGACAGGCAGATCACTACGTCAGGAGTTCACCATATTGACCAGCCTGGCCAATATGGTGAAACCCTGTCTCTACTAAAAATAGAAAAATTAGCCGGCTGTGGTAATGCACGCCAGTAGTCCCAACTACTCAGGAGGCTGAGGCAGAGGAATCTCTTGAACCTGGGAGGTGGAGGTTGCAGTGAGCAGAGATTACACCACTGCACTCCAACCTGGGTGACAGAGCAACTCTGCCTCGGGGGAAAAAAAAAAAAAAAAAAAGGTGGGAGGAGCCTGAAACCGTACTGAGCTATTTGAGGGAAAGGAAGGAAGGAAGGAAGTTAGGTAGGTTGGTTGGATAAGAACTTCAGGCTGCAGTGCAGTTCTGATAAAGGCTTGGCAGGCAGGCTGGCAGGCGGGAAGGAAGGTAGGGAAGGAGGGAGGGAGGGAAAAAGAGAGAGACCGATTGAATGAGAGGCTCATGCTGCACTGCAATTCTCAAAAAGTCTTGGCCAGGCTAAGAGGGAGCCCAAGGTCTGTTGCTGAAGTCCAGCACTGGGAAAAATGGCCCGGCCCTAACTTCTCCATAGTGCTCACATTGCCTGGTTGCTGCCTGGGAAGAGCAGGGCCTCCTTGTGGATCCAGAAGGCCTTGTAGCCAAGATCTGTGAGATCACTAGGTTCCTTGCAGCAGGCTCTCTCTTGAAGGGACTTGTAAGTGGCATAGCTCATGGCTGTCACAGATGTATATTTCATTTAATTCTTGCAACAACTATGATGCATATATTCTAGATGAACTGTATCAAGCTAGAATTTAACTGACTGGAATTTAAATAAGGGAGAAGGCAGGGGTAAAGGAGAAGGTGAAGGTGGGAGAATGGAAGGGATCATGACTTAGGGATTTCATGTGTCTCTGCTGAATACTCCAGAGTGAAAATGAGCTGAGAGATATAAATCCCGTCCCTCTACCACATCGCAATTCCTGCATCTCTCAGATTGTAAGCCTCTTGTTGC